GGTGGGGTAGAAGTACCCGAAATAAATAAATAAATAAATAAATATTTTTCTATCCCGCCGCTGCCACTAATTGTGTAACGGATGAGGCTTGATTGAGAATTGTATGACTTTTATTCAATGTGTGCAACCCAGTATCATAACACTGTCTTCAGCTCCACCTGATCTCCAGACTTCGCTTTCCTGGGGAACCTTCTCTTTCGAAAGTAGTTGCAACCCTTAGTATTTTGAACTGAACAGAAACAACATTTATTTTAAAGGTTTCTCAGGTTCACATAAGCTTGACGGTTGCAAAGGACATCCTTATCGTCGCTACACTTAACTCTTGGTTCTTCAGAAAACATAAAACTGTTGCTGTTAAACTTTTAACAATGGCTTATCTTCTCTCTCCTTAGTGTTCGTCATTTCCTTTCTTTTAAGACTTATTTTCTTAGTCCCACTTCTATTGCTTCGGAAGTCATAAATAAAACGACCGAGAACCTCTTTCTTCTAGCACCCGGGATAGATCATACAATAGGGTTAAACACTTCCACTCTTTTATTGCTCGACACTGAAGATTAAACACCTGGCTCACCACCTGGAGCCACCTTTTTCTTCTGACTACCTGTCAGAGACTTAAACTACTTGGTCTAGGTCTACATAACTCGAATTGAGCATCCCTTAGCTCAGTGTTTCTCAAGCTGGGGGTCGGGACCCCTGGGAGGATCGCAAGGGGGTGTCAGAGGGGTCACCAAAGACCATCAGAAAAACCAGTATTTTCAGTTGGCCATGGGGGTTCTGTGTGCCAAGTTAGGCCCAATTCTATTTTTGGTGGAGTTCAAAATACTCTTTGGTGGTAGGTGAACTATAAATCCCAGTAACTACATCTCCCAAAGGTCAAGGTCTATTTTCCCCAAACTCCACAAGTTTGGTCCAGATCCACCACTGTTTGGAACCACAGTGATCTCTGGATGTAGGTGAACTACAACTCCCAAACTCAAGGTCAATACCCACCAAACCCTTCCAGTATTTTCTGTTGGTCATGGGAATTCTGTGTGCCAAATTTGGTTCAATTCCATCACTGATGGAGTTCAGGATGCTCTTTGGTTGTAGGTGAACTATAAATCCCAGCAACTACAACTCCCAAATAAATCCCCCCCACCCCCAAACCCACCAGTATTCAGAACTGGCCGTTTTGAGTATTTGTGCCCAGTTTGGTCGACTGAATGAATGCATCCTGCATATCCGATATTTACATTATGATTCATAACCGTAGCAAAATTACGGTTATGACGTAGCAACTAAAGTAGTTTTATGGTTGGGGGTCACCAAAACATGAGGAACTGTATTAAGGGGTCGCAGCATTAGGAAGGTTGAGAACCACTGCCTTAGCTCATCAAGTGGCAATGAGTTCCTCCTTCTCCCCTTCTACCTGGAAGGTTATGTCGCTATGGCAACGCCCTAGCTCAGGCCACCCATCAGCTGGTCTGCACCTACATCACAATATCAACAAACATATGTAAAAAACCCATATCATAATATCAGTAAACATATGCACAACCTATATTCTAATTAGACATTTAGTTACACCCTCTGTTCAGAAGGCTTGGATTGTGTCTTCCTGCCTGGCCCAAGGGGGCTGGACTGGTTGGTCCTTTGGGATCCCTTCCATCTCTAGGATTCAATGAATTTATGGAAGGAGAGAAAGAAAGATGGAAATGAAGCCAAAGGAGCTGGGAAAATGGATTTCTGCTCAGAGGGAAGGAGAAGGTTACCTCATCCGGAGCTGAGAAAACAAGGAAGGAGAGTCAAGGGAGAAGACATTGAAAGCAAAAGCAGAGAAAGGGAGTGTTAAGGAAAAACCCCAAATACAGCAGAGCATCCAAAATACAAATAGGATACTTAACAGGATACTTAGGAAGGAGAGTCAAGGGAGAAGACATTGAAAGCAAAAACAGAGAAAAGGGAGTGTTAGGGAAAAATCCCAAAAACAGCAGAGCATCCAAAATACAAATAGGATACTTAACAGGATACTTAGGAAGGAGAGTCAAGGGAGAAGACATTGAAAGCAAAAACAGAGAAAAGGGAGTGTTAGGGAAAAATCCCAAAAACAGCAGAGCATCCAAAATACAAATAGGATACTTAACAGGATACTTAGGAAGGAGAGTCAAGGGAGAAGACATTGAAAGCAAAAACAGAGAAAAGGGAGTGTTAGGGAAAAATCCCAAAAACAGCAGAGCATCCAAAATACAAATAGGATACTTAACAGGATACTTAGGAAGGAGAGTCAAGGGAGAAGACATTGAAAGCAAAAACAGAGAAAAGGGAGTGTTAGGGAAAAATCCCAAAAACAGCAGAGCATCCAAAATACAAATAGGATACTTAACAGGATACTTAGGAAGGAGAGTCAAGGGAGAAGACATTGAAAGCAAAAACAGAGAAAAGGGAGTGTTAGGGAAAAATCCCAAAAACAGCAGAGCATCCAAAATACAAATAGGATACTTAACAGGATACTTAGGAAGGAGAGTCAAGGGAGAAGACATTGAAAGCAAAAACAGAGAAAAGGGAGTGTTAAGGAAAAATCCCAAAAACAGCAGAGCATCCAAAATACAAATAGGATACTTAACAGGATACTTAGGAAGGAGAGTCAAGGGAGAAGACATTGAAAGCAAAAACAGAGAAAAGGGAGTGTTAGGGAAAAATCCCAAAAACAGCAGAGCATCCAAAATACAAATAGGATACTTAACAGGATACTTAGGAAGGAGAGTCAAGGGAGAAGACATTGAAAGCAAAAGCAGAGAAAAGGGAGTGTTAGGAAAAAATCCCAAAAACAGCAGAGCATCCAAAATACAAATAGGATACTTAACAGGATACTTAGGAAGGAGAGTCAAGGGAGAAGACATTGAAAGCAAAAACAGAGAAAAGGGAGTGTTAGGGAAAAATCCCAAAAACAGCAGAGCATCCAAAATACAAATAGGATACTTAACAGGATACTTAGGAAGGAGAGTCAAGGGAGAAGACATTGAAAGCAAAAGCAGAGAAAAGGGAGTGTTAGGGGAAAATCCCAAAAACAGCAGAGCATCCAAAATACAAATAGGATACTTAACCGGATACTTAATAATTGAGCATTCAGCTCACAGCAAGCAGAGCGTGAAGTGATGTTATAAGTGTTATCCTTTTAAATGCTTCTTAACTGTTTTTATCATGTTTTATGTATTGTATTGTGCTTGTGAAACCGCTCTGAGTCGCCCTGAGGGCTGAGAAGAGCGGTATAAAAATGTAGTTAGTAAATAAATAAATAAATGTGACTGGAAAATAATGTAGAGCTTAAGAAGCAGAGATAATAATAATAATAATAATAATAATAATAATAATAATAATAATATATTTCTAAACCCAAGGGGACTCGGGGCAATTTACACGCAAAAAGGGTGCAAACATTCAATGCCCAACTCAAACACATTTAAAAATAAACCAAATAATACAAAAATAATAACCGTAAATTTGTGTCAAAAGAGAAATTAATACCAAAACGAGGACCAAATATGAATAATTGAATAAACCTATTTGTACTAATAACATAAATTAACCACTTATGCAGAGTTCTGTCTTTGATTGTTTTAACTAGTTATAATTGTTGTTGTTATACTGTATTTTGTGTATTGTATTTTGTGAACTGTTGGGCATCGAATTGTGCCTTTTGTAAGGCGCCCTGAGTCCCCGCTAGGGGGTTGAGAAGGGCGGGGTATAAGCACTCGAAATAAATAACATAATAAATAAATTTAATACTTACACAAGGTTTATTTATAAGAATAATAACCACATTTCTTAATAGTTTCCCAAGTCACTCCTGACATGAAAAATAGTAATGAACTACTATCTCTTTTAGGGTTCAAAAAAGAGGAGGGAAATCTCCAAGCACTACATTTCTCCTGACACATACAAGTAGAGGCAGTAAATTCTCTAGGGCAGTGGTTCTCAACGTGTGGGTCCCCAGATGTTTTGGCCTTCAACTCCTAGAAATCCTAACCGCTGGTAAACTGGTTGGGATTTCTGGGAGTTGTGGGCCAAAACACCTGAGGACCCACACGTTGAGAACCACTGCTCTAGGGCAGTGGTTCTCAACCTTGCTAATGCCGTGACCCCTTAATGCAGTTTCGTATGTTGTGGTGACCCCCAAACATAATATTGTTTTCGTTGCTACTTGATACTTGTCATTTTACTACTGTTATAAATCGTAATGTAAATATCTGATATGCAGGATGGATTTTCATTCACTGGACTAAATTGAGCACAAATACCCAATATGCCCAAATGTGAATGCTAGTGGTGGGGGGGGGGGGGAGGATTGATTTTGTAATTTGGGAGTTGTAGTTGCTGGGATTTATACTTCACCTATAATCAAAGAGCATTCTAAACTAGACCAGCAATGGATTTAAACCGAACTTGGCACACAGAACTCCCATGACTAATAGAAAACACTGGAAGGGTTTGGTGGGCATTGACCTTGAGTTTGGGAGTGGTAGTTCACCTACATCCAGAGAGCACTGTGGACTCAAACAATGATGGATCTGGACCAAACTTGGCACAAATACTCAATATGCCCAAATGTGAACACTGGTGGAGTTTGGGGGAAATAGATCTTGACATTTGGGAGTTGTAGTGTTGGGATTTATAGTTCACCTACAATCAAAGAGCATTCTGAACTCCACCAATGATAGAATTGGGCCAAACTTCCCACACAGAACCCCCATGACCAACAAAAAATATTGTCAGTTCTTGTGGGTTTTTTCGGGCTATATGGCCATGTTCTAGAGGCATTTCTCCTGACGTTTCGCCTGCATCTATGGCAAGCTTCCTCAGGTAAGACCTCACCGCTGAGGATGCTTGCCATAGATGCAGGCGAAACGTCAGGAGAAATGCCTCTAGAACATGGCCATATAGCCCAAAAAAACCCCACAAGAACTGAGTGATTCCAGCCATGAAAGCCTTCGACAATACAGAAAATACTGTTTTCTGATGGTCTTTGGCGACCCCTTTGACACCCTCTCACGGCCCCCTCAGGGGTCCCGACCCCCAGGTTGAGAAACACTGCTCTAGGGTGTAAAAAGCAGAAGTCTGAACAAAGGCATGCACCTGAAAAGAATCCATTCCACATAACCAATCAGAATGAGAGAAGAAAGAGAGAGGAGAGAACAAATGCATTCCAACCGTCATTCAGGAGTCGGGTGGGAAGGATGCCCTCAGCCTACTCCTAAACTAACTATAGATTAGAGTTAAAATGGACATCGAGGGTCTCGAGCCCAGCCCACTTCAGCCAGCCATGAAGACACAGTCAAAACATCTGCTTAAAAACACCCAGAAGGGTGTATCACTACAGAACGGTAGTGCTGGTGTGTTCAAGTGTAGGTTCTGTTATAACTTTTGTTATATTTGTTGATTGAGTTGCAGTAATTACCTTTCTAATTAATAAAATAAAAATGTATGTCACTAAGATGAAATATCCGGAAAGCTCTGACTTAGAGATCTCTCTGGGGTCAAATCCAACTGTTCTCTCCAATGTGAATTCTATGTCTATGCAGATTTGAACACTCAGTGAAGCTCTTTCCACATCCATGAGTTTCTAGGGTTGCTCTCCAGTGTGAATCCTTTGATGCGAACGTAGACCTGAACTCTGGCTGAAGCTCTGTCCACACTCCAGGCACATATAGGGTTTCTCCCCAGTGTGAATCCTTTGATGTGAACGTAAACTGCAATTCTTAGTAAAGCTCTGTCCACACCAAAGACACATATAGGGTTTCTCCCCAGTGTGAGTCCTTTGATGTGAACGTAGACCTGAACTCTGAGTGAAACTCTGTCCACACTCCAGGCATGTATATGGTTTCTCCCCAGTGTGAGTCCTTTGATGTGAACGTAGACTTCCGCTCTCAATAAAGCACTGTCCACACCAAAGACACATATAGGGTTTCTCCCCAGTGTGAATCCTTTGATGTGAACGTAGACCTGAACTCTGTGTGAAGCTCTGTCCGCACTCCAGGCATTTATAGGGTTTCTCCCCAGTGTGAGTCCTTAGATGCGAATGTAGATTTGCACTCTGAGTGAAGCTCTGTCCACACTCCAGGCATGTATAGGGTTTCTCCCCAGTGTGAGTCCTTTGATGCGCATGGAGATTTGCACTCTGAGTAAAGCTCTGTCCACACTCCAGACATGTATATGGTTTCTCCCCAGTGTGAGTTCTTTGATGTCTATATAGACCTGAACTATGAGGAAATCTCTGTCCACACTCCAAGCACGTATAGGGTTTTTCCCCAGTGTGAATCCTTTGATGTGTCTGTAAACTTGAGCTGTGACTGAAGCTCTGTCCACACTCCGGGCATGTAAAGGGTTTCTCCCCAGTGTGAGTCCTTTGATGTCTATGTAAACTTGAACTATAAGAAAATCTCTGTCCACACTCCAGGCATGCATAGGGCTTCTCCCCAGTGTGAGTCCTTTCATGTTGCTGCAGATCATTCCTCCGAGTGAAATTCTTTCCACACACAAGGCACATAGATGCTCTCTCCTCCATGTCAACAGAGATACGGGTGTTGAATTGCAATATAGATAGCTGGCTCTTGTTTTTTTCCTTTCTTATCTGTAAATAAGGTCAAGAATTCATCAAGAACATTATGTTGAGAGGATTTCTTCTTCTTCTTCCTATGTTATTAGTTTTCTGAATGCACCCAAGAGTTGGCTCCATAGAATCCTCATGTCCCTGGTCAAGAAAGAAGCAAAAGATCAAGGATGGAAGCCAGAAACTTTCTTACCTGCAAGATTTACTCCCTTTCCCTTGATGGGTCATGTTGAAAATGGAAATGACAAGAAATGCATACATAAGGTCCTCAAGTGCTTACATAGATACCAGCAAAGGGAGTAACTGGTTCTTTTAAGAAAGGGAATGAATACAGAAAGAAAGAAGAAAAAGAAAAGAGGAGAGGGAGAAATGAATGAATGAATGAATGAATGAATGAATGGTGGATGGATGGATGGATGGATGGATGGATGGATGGATGGAAGGAAGGAAGGAAGGAAGGAAGGAAGGAAGGAAGGAAGGAAGAAAGGAAGGGGACCTCCTTCTAATACTGGAGCATCACATTGATTTCATTAGGTCAAACACAAATATGGCTAAAAGAACGGAAGGCAGGCAGACAGCAAGAAAGGGTTATTTCCAGTATTAAAGGGCATCATGCATTGGATAACATTTACACAAATGACCAGCCACTGCCAGAAGGAAGGGACAGAGAGTTTCATTTATGCTGACGATTGTGCCATCACCGCCCAAGCAGGGTGCTCTGAAATCATAGAATCATAGAATCAAAGAGTTGGAAGAGACCTCCTGGGCCATCCAGTCCAACCCCATTCTGCCAAGAAGCAGGAATATTGCATTCAAAGCACCCCTGACAGATGGCCATCCAGCCTCTGTTTAAAAGCTTCCAAAGAAGGAGCCTCCACCACACTCGGGGCAGAGAGTTCCACTGCTGAACGGCTCTCACAGTCAGGAAGTTCTTCCTCATGTTCAGATGGAATCTCCTCTTTTGTAGTTTGAAGCCATTGTTCTGCGTCCTAGTCTCCAGGGAAGCAGAAAACAAGCTTGCTCCCTCCTCCCTGTGGCTTCCTTCACATATTTATACATGGCTATCATATCTCCTCTCAGCCTTCTCTTCTTCAGGCTAAACATGCCCAGCTCCTTAAGCCGCTCCTCATAGGGCTTGTTCTCCAGACCCTTGATCATTTTAGTCGCCCTCTCTGGACACATTCCAGCTTGTCAATATCTCTCTTGAATTGTGGTGCCCAGAATGGGACACAATATTCCAGGTGTGGTCTAACCAAAGCAGAATAGAGGGGTTTAAATGATTGAACAGAAGCTTTCAGAAGCTTTAGGTGCTCTTACTGTCTTTTACAGGGAAAACCAGCTGCTAGTAAATCCATCTAAAACACAGACATGTGCTTTCCATCTTAAGAACAGACAAGCATCTCAAGCTCTGAGGATGACCTGGGAAGGAATCCAATTGGAGCATTGCAGCACACCCAACTACCTGAGAGTGACCCTGGACCATGCTCTGACCTGCAAGAAGCACTGCCTGAATATCAAGCAAAAAGTGGGTGCTAGAAACATTATTATACAAAAGCTGACTGGCACAACCTGGAGATAGTGAAGACATCTGCCTTTGCGCATTGCTACTCTGCTGCTATGTATGCGTGCTCAGTGTGGAACACATCTCACCATGCTAAAGTGGATGTGGCTCTTAATGAGGCATACTTCATTATCACAGGATGTCTATGCCCTACAACACTGGAGAAATTATACTGTTTCGCCAGTATTGCACAACCTGACAACTGCCAGGAAGTAGCAGCCAATAATGAAAAGATCAATCCCGTTTTGTTATCAGCCAGCATGCTAATGCCTTAAATCAAGAAATAGTTTTCTAAGGTCTACAGAGATACTTGCAGGAACATCTCAGCAAGCGAGAGTCCAAAAGTGGCAGGCTAATCTCTGGAACCTCAAGCCATGGCTGATACCAAATGAGAGACTCCCCCCTGGGTACACAGAAGACTGGGCGACTTGGAAGGCACTGAACAGACTGCGCTCTGGTACCACGAGATGCAGAGCCAACCTTAAGAAATGGGGTCACAAAGTGGAGTCCACGACATGCAAGTGTGGAGAAGAGCATACCACAGACCACCTACTACAATGCGGCCTGAGCCCTGCCACATGCATAATGGAGGACCTTCTTATAGCAATACCAGAGGCACTCCAAGCAGCCAGCTACTGGTCAAAGGACATTTAGTATAATGTTTTTAAACTCTGTGTTTTTAAAAATACATTACAACTGTGCCCTCGGTTCACTTCTGATAAGATAAATAAATAAATAAATCCACCCTGCTTTATGCATATGACGCAGTTCTTCTTTCTAGAACTCAAGTTGGACTGAAAAGAGCCCTGAGAGCATTAACGAATTATTTGTTTGTTTATTTATTTGCAGTATTTGTATACTGCCCCTCTCAGCCTTCCGGCGACTCGAGGCGGTTTACAAGGCAAAATTCAATACCACCAAAAACACAGTTACAATATAAAAACTTTAACATCAATAAAATCGTAACAGCTGTAATAAAACATAATTCAATAAATACTCATTAAAATAATGTCCAATCCATCTTGTGGTTGATTCCGTTCTTATGTCCGTTACTCAGCATTTGCAAATGCCTGCTCGAATAGCCATGTCTTGAGTTTTTTCCAAAATGCTAAAAGCGAAGAAGTTGATCTAATCTCCATAGGAAAGGCGTTCCAAAGCCGAGGGGATACCACTGAGAAGGCCCTGTCTCTCGTCCCCGCCAGCCGTGCTTTGATATTGGCGGGACCGAGAATTACTGCAATGCGGAACAGTTGCATCTCAACTTTCCGAAACACCAAATTATGATGTTCACTAAACAACCCAAGAAGCACAACTAGAGAATAGATGGACACAAATCTGAGCAGGTCTCAAGCTTTAAATGCCTGGGAGTACTCTACCACTGCACTAACAGCAGGAAAGCCCACACAGAGTATGCAGCTGAAACAGCTCAAAAGAGCTCGCCCGCCATCTTAAGATACCTCAGGACAGGAGGAGGCCACTTTATACCAGCAATACTTTTTGAAGCGAAACCAATTGCCCAAATGCTGTATGGAGCTCAGTGTGGCTCCTTGTCAAATTATGCCCCACTAGAGTGTGGTTGTAAAGGGGGTTAAGGAACGAGGGGTCCCTTAACGCATGTGTGACAGGGGGGAACCTTCCTTTTCCATCCCACCGCTGCCACCACTGTAACGAGGGTTAAGAGATCAGGGTCTCTTATTGCTCCTGTGTGACAGGAATATGCGAGGATGTTACACACAGGCGATGAGAGAGAAAGATGTGTGTATATGATAGGTATTCTGCCACCACCCCAAATCACCGTTTGAGGAATTAACTAGATGATATACTTGAGGTAAAATGTCCCCATACACCGGTTCTTCTTTTTGGGCTCCCTTTCTTGTGACTGGACTGCAGAGATGTAGAGGCTGACTAAATCTAGCTTTATATAACAAAACAAGGCTGAGGCAGATTAAAAGTAAGCTAGAGAACAGGTTTATTGAAATATTTGAAACAGACAACTCATTACTGAGTGGTACATACGCGTAGTTGGTTTCTGAGGCACAGAGTTATAAAACAAATGGTTTCTGTATTGTCGAAGGCTTTCATGGCTGGAATCACTCAGTTCTTGTGGGTTTTTTCGGGCTATATGGCCATGTTCTAGAGGCATTCTCTCCTGACGTTTCGCCTGCATCTATGGCAAGCATCCTCAGAGTAGTAACTCTGAGGAAGCTTGCCATAGATGCAGGCGAAACGTCAGGAGAAATGCCTCTAGAACATGGCCATATAGCCCGAAAAAACCCACAAGAACAAATGGTTTCTCTTGATGTGAGTTACTTTCCACACACTACCCCTATAGCAAGTAACAGTCTGTCTCTTAGACCAGCCGCCCTGGCTGCCTGCGAGAGTAACTAGGTTCCTTCTAGACTACTCTGCACTGTAGGGAAATAACCCACTTGTATTTTCTCCTAATACAAGTCAACAAGCCTTCCCTTTGACTGCCCAAGCCAAAGTACCCTGAAGCACTTGTCCTCTATTATTCCCTGACAGTCTAATTTCTCACTCACTCAAAAACTCTCTTCTCCCTGCCTGAAAATCTCAATCCTATCTCTTTCAGATCAAATCCCTCTTCTCTCTTTTAGATCAAAACCATCTCCCTCCCCTCTGACAGAAAGTACAGCCTTTTTACACACTCCTTCAACTCCTCCCCTAGGGGTCTGAGCCAATCAGGAGTTAGCTGACTCCTCCCCTTGCCTCTCTGCCCTTCCCAACATGTCAGCTATCCTGAGCACCCTCCCAACATGGAGGCCTGCTCACTGACTCCCGGGCTGTGGCCTACGAAGCCAAGGTATGAGTTCACTATAGTGGTCAATCAGAATTTCTAAGATCAGCTCTACAGGCTCCCAGAGGTGTCTCTAATGCAAGCCTGCGATTGGAGACAGGCTTCGTGAAAGTGGAGGCGAGAGTATGAACACCTATCCTCAACTACTGGCTATGCCTATCATTCTCCGCATGTGCTCTTGCCCCTCTAACCATATGGGGCGACTTCCAGTCCTCATGGACTAAAACAGTGGCTGTAAAGATCACAACACTAGGTTTCTCCCAAGGAGAATCGCTAAGCATGAAATGAGACAAAGCCAAGGATTTCACTTAGCAACAGATCCTGGGGGCATAGAGTGCCAAACGGACTTAGCCTGCTCCCCAGCCTTTATTGTTAGTGAAGCTAAAAGATACTTCACCCCCCCCCCCCCCCCCCCCCCCCCCCCATGGCATGCCTAACAAACGTGGAGGTGTCTGAACATCAAGGGGGAGCAAGATGCCATGCTCTCCCATCGACTGTACTGGAGGTGAAGTATCGGAAGATCCTTTTATAACTTCTCAGAAACCATAAAGGAAGCTGCACACCAGAACGTACATACAGGAAACAGTAAGCAACAACAACAGATTGCTAGAGAAGGCTCGATGAAAGTTGTCATTTTCAATAAAGGGGCATCCAGTGTAGACCCTTTCAGCCAGCCAGGAGAAGAAAGTCCAAAGCTCTATTTTAAAAGATCAAAAGAGGTTTAATTTACCTATTGGGCATAACAGATTTGGATATACTACTAAA